GCTTCTGAGTAATAATTCAATCTTACAGCCTTGCTCTCTTCCATGGGCTTATTAATATTTTACATCTGGGCCAACCATCAGGACAACAATATTATTAAAGAAGAAGATGGCATATATGAGGTTAATTATGAATTGGTCATTTTTCAGTTGATAGCTGCAGAAAAGGAAAACAATAGATACTGATTTTTATTGGCCAGAATGTTGCGTCGATTGTTGGAATAGACCGAGCAACACTGTAAGATAAAGAATGACGTCGTTGAAGTGGCAAATCAGCTTGAAATTCAGTAGTCCGTAATGCATATTTTGATGCGTACTTTAAAAGGACGCCTTTAGATAATGATTATATTTGGTCTAGCCTTACTTCCATAAACTAAACCTTTGTAGTTAATTGGTATTTGAAACATTTATAAAAATCGGTTTAATAAAAATTGGCCTAAGGAATGGACTGACAGTCAATGCGTGAAAAGCATGATGGTGATGCTATTTGTTGATACTCACTAAGTAATGAGTACAGTCACCAGTGGTGGATTTGAACCATTTAATGATGTAAATTTCTTTCCCCAACAGAATGGATTCTTAAATTCTAAATTCAGTACTGTTGAATCTTCATTCTGAAAATGGTTTGTGTTATTAGGAAGGCATTTACGATGACATGTAAAATCATGTCAACGTGTCCGTTTGTTGACTTTGAAGAGGACGCAGAAGGACGTGAATATTTAAGGAATATTAAATTCAGAGGTTTGGAATCGAAAAGGACATTTTGTCTTAGGATAGTGTAGTGATCAGAATATTATTTTCAGCAGAATACGTTCTTTTATATGTAACTTGTGCTTTAGCTGTCTTATAACAACTGTGAAATGGAGAATTTTAGTTGTCTTTGTAAGATGCACGACAGTTACATTTTTTCATTTTTAGCAGTATTTTGGATGGGCGCTGTATATGCAAATAGCAGGGACGACGACGCAGTTTTTTGCATCTTTCTTAGGTTGCGCTGTTACCTCAATGGCATTCAGAAAGAGTCGAGCCAAATTGGTCAAGATCGAGGTTTCTCATCCTAATTTATACTCACTTATTATTTAACTCAGTGCTGCATTCTTCGAGTGAATCTCTAGATTTCAGGTGATTGATAGAGACAATTCAACCTTGATTGATCGAACAGTTTCACTCCCATTCAAGCGTTCATTTTCAGCAATTTACAAATTGGACTCAGCTGACCTCCAGAAGTGGGAAAGGGATTACATAAATATCATCCAGTCAGATAGCATCACCAAACGGGTAAATTTTTAAAGAATATTAGAGAAATCTATAATGCATATTCTAGCTTAGACAATTAACGAACATTTGTGATTTTTCCTTATCACCCACCCATATTTTCAATTTTTTGCTTTTATTGTGTCTGAGACGTAACTATACATCAAGCACGATCATATATAGCAGGCCATCATTTATGTTTAGTCTCCGCTTACTAATTGGTATTGAGAAACAGCTGTGTTAGTTGTTCTATCAGTTGTTATCAATACTTGCATTTTATGAGTTTTTTTATATCGGACAAATAGGATTTGCAATTTCAAGAGTTCTATATCGGCACCAGATTTCAAGAAGTACCCGAGGAAGAACAAACAGAATCCACAGGAAAGCAAAATCACAAAATCCACTTCTAATTTATTCGACCAACCAAACTTAAACACTGCTTTCGAAACATTTCCACAATCATTTTCATTTCCAGTTCCAAAGGTTACGTCTCTCATAAATTTGCACATGATAATTGCCTCATTTGGAGTAGAGAGCCTCATTTTATAGAAGAAGTGATCCCAATTGTTTTCACGCAATAGAATATTTGATTTTCGGCAATGCAGTGCAACTTCCTCTTCAACAAATACTGTAAAGATTTGTCTTGATGAATTAAGAACTTTTACTGCATGCTCGTTTCTGCAAGAGTGTGTGTGCATGTGTGCTACATATTGTGTTTGAGATCTAAGAAGCAAACATTAATATTTAAATTTCTATATCACACGATTCTTTTTCATTTTGGAATTCTTCACTGACTGCACAACTTTTTGTGTGAAAGTCAGTTTTTGATTACAGTCAATTTTAAAAGTCACGTCAAAGCAACCTTCAACGGTGATGGATGCAAATCGACGATTAAGCGATGATCTTGATCTGACTTACGAATATTTGCCAGACGACCTCGTAGGAAATTCACGAAGTACAGAAACGTTAAACAGATCGTTCACAACAGATTTTACTGACATCAGCTTATTCGGTCACAGCAAGTATGTCACGAATATCTATCGCTTTTTATGATTCATTTGATGCCTTTCTCATCTTTCTAAGCACAAAAATTCAGACCAAACCGTAGTTTCATTTTCAGGTTTTGTTACACTTCAACTGTTTTTTAAAATGGACAAAGCAAAAGAAGTATTTTCTTTTTGCAGAGATATTTGCAACCAAGGCAGCCACTCACGAAGTCCAATCAATGTCTATGATAAAGTTTACGAGTATATCCCAGATATAGCTAAATCACGTAATCATGAACAGGCAAACAGTTGTTTTAAGAATATCGCCATTTCTGCTGACAAAATTTTAATTCGTTCTGGTTTGATTTTTATCATTTTCAACAAGTATCCAACTCCTTCTAAGGTCATTTAATTGAGTTTCCGGAAACCATCATAGGAGTAGATAAAAGAAAATAATTCAAAACGTTTTGCATAATCTGCTGTCTGGTTTCTACTAAATAACTCTGCAATTGCATGGGTTTAAGGACAAGAACAGACAACTGATGAAGACCTTAGAACACTTATCAACGATGTGTCTTCCTGTTCGAGCACTACAGCCACTAAGTTCACTTTTTTTCATTTTTTTTTTTTCATGTAAAAAGGAACCTAAAAAAAAATTTTTTTTTGATCATGACAATTTTAACAGTTTTTTTTTTTTTTTAGATCAGGTTTCACGAATTTGGTTCCTGAAACAATCACTGTACCGACGAATCGGTGTACATCTGGTGATATGCTTTCAGTCCTACCAAATGATGTATTTATTGGTTTTGTATTTTAAATTCATAGATTTTTTTTGTAATGTTTGTTTTAGAGATTTCTTCATTCACGTGAGTCGTTCCACTTAATCCTAATCTTAGTTGGTTCCACGATGTGACATTGATGAAATAATATTGCAGCCAAGAACAGGGATATCCAATTTGCAAAATTTTCTGGTAGAACGAAACGCATATCTTCATTTTCCAAATAGACACTCACTGAATCATGTTTCTGATTGTATTGCGATCAATACATTCGATTTTAGAACACTTATGGGAAGAGAAGGAGAAAGGTATTTGAAAAACCGGATTGAAGTGCCTTGAAATTTCAACATGGGTGATGATGGAAGAATTGGGATTTAAGAACCTGCTAGAAAATCGCTATAATGAAAATTCTATAAATACCATACACAGGGATTATGTCGGATATTACAGATCCATCAAGAATTTGGTTTTTCGACCACAGAAAGATGAAAGTATTGAAGCTTTCAAACGTGCTGATAATTCATCAGAACACAGTTCACTAAACAAATGCATGCCGAATAAGAGTAAAACACTGGATCCGATAACAAAAATTATCTTACCAGAAAACAGTGACATACAAATGACATGCAGTGTTATTCCCACCCCATATATGTTAGTTTCCTACCTTATTTATTTCTTCAATTATTTAGTATGTGCCGATGTTGTTATCAGAAGGTCATCGCACTTCAAAAAAAAATTGCAAGACCCATTCTTTGTTTTAAATTACTCTTTTATTTTCGACCGTCACTTCCGTAATTTATATGTAATTTCTTATGCAGTCTAGTTGAAACTACTGGATAACATTTGCCATTGTCGATTATCACTGGGCCAAACAAAGTTTTATATTCTAAACTTTCTTTCATGATTCTCTGAACGAAGAATTCTTTTGTTTGGTGATGATATGACGCATTTAGCATTTTTGCTTTCCTGTTAGTTCATCACAGTGGATTTTTTTCGTCAATAATTACTTATCATTTAAGAAATCATTCATTCAAACAACAATGAACAAAGTACTTTTCATGAAAGTGGTGCATAATGACGAAGTGTATTACCTAAACTAGTTGGTTGAATACATTTCTTTTTTCATGCAGACATTTCAGATGCTTTATTTGCTAGTGTTTTAGGTGCTCTGCAGATGAAATGGATCGTTCCATAGGTTCATTAGATACATTTAACAGTAACGCGGCTATAAAAAACAACGACCAGCAGTTTGAAGCAAAACTGTGTTTGAATTTGTTCATGAATGGTGGAGTAGCGTCACTTCTTACTGGAAACAATTCTGATAATGACTCCGCTGAAGCAAAAAAGAGCAATATCACTACCGTCTAGTAATTTATTAGTGAATTCCTGGCATCATCAGGATGGATAAAATATGCCGAATAATAACGCACTGCTGTCATCTCTTTTATACATAGATCACTTGAGAAATCTTCATTTGTTCCGAAAAAAGTGCCTACTTCGTTCAAAAATTTTTACCTCTATATATTACTTCTATTGTTACTTTAGTTATGCTTTTATTGTTGACAAAGATGATGATTCCAGTTAAAATTTTTTTTTATTCTTTGCTATTCCATCGGTAATATGGTTTTGTTCTAAAGAAAATAATAATAAAATGTATGTTACGAGTTGTTGCTCGTGTTTTGCGTAACACTTAGTTTGTGGAAATGTAATTCTTGAGAGTGAAAATTTGATGATCTTAAGGGAAATTCGAGAAGTGGCTAATCCATCATAGCTAAGGGACTTATTAAACAAGGATACATTATTGACTAGTGGAGAATTGAGAAATTATATTACTAAGGGATGGATTTCAAGAAATTTCAATCTTATTTCATAGTAAAGGTAAGCACGTGAAAAGGACAGAATAACAATGCGTTGTTGTTTCCATGGTGACACTGAGGCTAATGAGAAATGGAAAACGTAGGATGGGATAGTACCGAAGAAGTGAATGGCTGAAGTGCATATTATCGGAGAGATTGAATATGCATCTGGGTTCCCAGAACAACGTCTTTTTTGTCGCTGGGAGCTCGGATTTGGTGAGTTATTCGTGTTTCTAGTTAGATGAATCTGTGAACAGTCTCAAATATTCTTACTTTAAAAAGTAAGAGGATTTTAAAAAGTGAAAAGTGGTTCCCAACAAACTACTTTTTATCCTCGAAATTTCGATTAATTTTTTGTTGTTATTTCGTGAACTATTTCATCATGAAGGTCATACATAGCTAAAAGTGCTGTACTGTTTGAAATCACTTTAAGGTGGTGGATGGCGTGTAATACAAGGAGTAAGCAAAGGACAAACTCAGATCGACTTATCCGAATATGAAGATTTTGCATATTTTTCACATCCGTTGGATATACATCTTATAACTAAAACCATACAAGGTCAGCATAACTTCATAAAATGGAAATTATTTTGAAAAGCACCTTGATATTTGAACTCTTACAAGAATTTACTCAAAACATTCCTATATTTAGGATGGCCTTCAATTAGTTTACAAATCTGGCATTACGATGAATTTGGTCGGCAGGAACTGTATGGCTACGGGTCCATATATTTACCAGCTTCACCCGGTGAACATCAGGTAATTGGTTTGCGTTGTCAATATAAAAACTGACTATTGTTTATAGTGACTGGTTGAACTATTTGCAAACAGAAATTTCATTTTTTCGTGATCGGTTTACAGCTAAGTTATTGATTTGATTAATTTACTAGTTCCCATTAATTACAGATGAAATGTTATACATGGAGACCGAAAGGTAGTTTACGTGAAGAAATGATGCAGTACTTTGTTGGAGGTGGTTTACAATTAAGCAATGAAAATTCGACACGACTCGATGAATACTCAAGATTGCGCACTGTATCAATGGGTGTCGTTAAACTGCGTATTTCAGTGATAACCAAAAATTTTGATCGTTTCGGAATCCAGTGCTAATAACTTTAGCCTCTGCTTAACCATTCTTTGTGTCTCGTTAAATGTGAACGTCATTTGTAATATATTATGAGCGCTTCGTTAGTGAGCGTATTTTATCTTGACAGAATGTCTCCATTAAGAAACTTGTTTAGTGTTCCTATCTATATCATTCATTTCCTACCAAACATATCATCGAGCAGTGCGTAGTGATTCCTCACTGTTATAATATTTTCTGATCACATTTTATAATGTCATGACGATGGTCACTATCAATAAGCCGGAAGAGGTACATGCATTCCGCATCTTCTCTGACCTACAGTTGACTTGTAATACGTTACTTTCTCACACGCTGTCTACCTTAAGTTTGTAAAATTTTTAGTTTTTGTAATAACTTTTTGTAATAATTTTTTTTACTTTCGAATGCATTACTTTCAAATGTATCAATTAAATGGTAGCGTACAGGAGATAATAGAGCCATTTTCCATAAAAACTATTTAGCATTTCCAGGTGTTTCTTAGACGACCAGCCAATCTGTACAGTCAGATTTTGTCAGCTATGCCCCAAAAAGTAAGGTTTATTGTCAATACTGCTTGACTATAACAGCTCTAAGACTTCTGAAAGCGATCTGGAACGTATGCTGAGGGAAAAAGGAAGTTTTATGATCTATTTCAAGATGTAACACGTAAAAATCAAAACCATTAGAATCATCAAACATGAACGGATGAATCTTATGCAAAGGATTCAAGTTCGTTTCGCTGTATTCAAATTAGACTGTTTATTACTATTAATAGAAAAAGAAGTAGAAAAGTACATTCGACTTACATTAATGTTTGTTGGAAAACTCAAAACTTAGAAAAGTTAGCAGAAGCAGGAGAACAAGTTTTGAAACAGTGAGAAGAAGAGCGTATTATAAAGTGATCAATGATAGCAAACAATTTAAAAGATCAAAATAAGTACGGCAGTGTGAAGCTGTCATATGATATTTTAATCAACGCTGTCAAAGAATTTGTTGGTTACACCTACAGTACTTTTTTCTTTTACTTAAATAACATAACACCACAAGTACGACGTTTTTATTGCACTGACTGTGCAAGCCTTATTCGTATCCGAATGCAGTTGTGTTTACATTAACTGGCTCAGGAATAGTTTCAATTCCATACCATTTATCTGAAGGCGTATTCCAGTGATCCTACTGAAGAAATGGAAGACTTTATATCACTTCTATTACTTGATCCTTTTAGTGCCTTTTCATCAGACTATTTTTTTTCCCATATTCTGTCAGACAAAGTACACATAGAAAGCACAGCATATGCTATCAGTGTACTAATCAGTATTTTGCTCTAGATTATTTGGAATATATCAGGAAAAAGGGTGGTGTTCCTTCTGTGTTGTTTTCGTTTCTTCCATCTTTCGATCACTAGCGTAGTAGACCGCAGACGTCGGTTATCAAGAAGAATGTGTGGAATGTAGAAGACCGAATTCTTGGAAGTACGGGATACCATACAGGAAGCAAATTTCGTTTTCTTTTTGAACCTTTAAAAATTTAAACTCTGTTTTAATTGACCAGTTTTGCATTTGAAAACCAGCAATATAAAAAAGCTTTCTTTAGTAATTAATAATTTAGAGCTAAGATAATTCTGCACAGTATCACCAATTATATTCCGCTCCACCTCTATTCTGCAAACCATCAAAGCTTCTTTCGTAATCTTACGGACATTTTTCCCGAAAACCACTCAATAGTCCTCCAGCTATTTCTTAAATCACCATGATCTACAGCAGTTTGTACGCTGACTAGTGATAACCCGACTCAACTCTGCTTAACTGAACCCGAACCCATGAGTGTTGCAACTGCTAAATGCTAAATAGAATACATGTGGGAGCTAGAGAAGCAAGTGCGTCATGGAAAAGCAGCACGAAAATAGCACAAGGAATATGAGAAACAAACTGTGTAATAATCTGCACGAGAGCACATCTCTCACATAGCGAGGAGTAGCGGCGCCTCGGCAACTGAAGTGGACAAGCAATCGAAACGGCGGAATGGACGGTGTCGAGTTGTCTGACAACTCCCGCTTTCTCTGTGTTGGCACGACTTGCGAATAATGTTGGGGGAATGGGACTGTGGTACTGGGACTAGTGTATGGGGTGTTGCTTTGCGGGACTTTTTTGAAACGGTTTGCTTTCCATATGTACCATTTCCATTTGGTGATGTGGATCAGGAAAAAAAGCGATACCAGTTTTAGGAATCAGTGTCAGCATTTTTAGCGCTACTTTCGTGCCATACATTTTATTTTTGTGGTTTTTATTCCTCAGACGAAATTTGCTTCTAAACTTTTTAACAATAATATTTTTAAGTCTTTTAAGAACTGTTGAAAGTAGTATCGAAATAGTGAAATTAGTTAGGGTCGATGACTTTTCGTGATGGTAATAATCATAATTCCATGACTTCATTTGTTTTTGTTATTCCAAAAAGACTTTTTCATAATTTGGATAAGTAGGAATAATTTTCAGGTAACATAAATCTTCATGTATAAAGTGATAATAAGGAGTTATTGGTTATCGCTGATAATTTTGTCTTTACCGGCTGCGTTAACGAATGTCATTTGGTTGGATATAGATAATCACGATGGTATCATCAAAAGTGCTCAGGTACAAAAATTTTCAATTTCTTTGAGGATTTTTGCATGTTAAAGATTTTAATCATTTTAAAAGCTATAGGGACTAGTCAGCTAGCGAGAAAAAATGCTTGATTTGTTAAACGATTTCGTTTGGGAATGTTACAATGTATTACTAATGTACGTTCTGTTCTGCATCTATTGGGTTATCAAAAATGAATTCGGAAATGAAGATATTCAAAGATATATTTAACCCATAACGAGTCTGACTAACACAAGTTACACGACTCTTACTTTTAACCAACTTTTGGAATTGTTTGTCCTCATGGTATATTTAGTTTAATACTGCTGTGTTTTGATCTTTTCTGTATTCTTTTCCTACTGATTGAATGGGAACAATATTGCTTAGGATAATTATTAGCTGCATTCCATTCTTGTACGGATATTTCATTTAAAATTGCAGTGAATGGTATGCTGATGATTATAAATACGGATATTCGTCACTATGGGGATTTATAATATAAAAAATTATGTTTTTTGAGTAAAATTATATAAGAAAATAAGTAAGTCAGATTGTTTTTTAAACTGCTTGTGTTTGAGTAATACAATTATTACTGGTAATTAATGTGTTCTGACATGTTTTAGGTTGTGTTTGTTGCGTTTTGTGCTGATTGGTGCCCATTTAGTCGTCGACTTAAACCAATTTTTGAAGAAGCTGCTGCTGTTTTTGCACAAGAAAACCCTACAGCAAATGTCATCTGGGCTCTTGTAGATAGTGTCGAACAAGTGAAGTTTCTCTTTGAAGTCAACTGATGAGTTCTTTTATATGTGATAGAGATGTCCACCTTTTTTGCTAAGTTTAAGCTGTTTATAGGCGAAAATTGCTGATAAATATTCTGTCAATAAATATCCAACGATGAAGGTTTTTATTAATGGAGAATTAGCAAACAAAGAGTACAGGTATTTCCATTGCATTACTTAGTTCTATTTACATGTTTACGGACTGTGGTTTCGGTATTAAAAAATCCGTTCTGTTTAACTGCAGATCTACGCGCTCAGTTGAAGCGCTTACAGCGTTTGTTAAACAACAACTCTCATCCAGTATACAAGATTTTGCTGGTGAGAAAGACCTAGAACGGCAAATGGACAAAACCAAGAGAAATGTGGTTGCTTATTTTGCAGACAAAAATAGCAATGAATATCGAAGTTTCCAGGTTGCTTTTTTGCTAACTGCGAGTTGCTTTAAATCAGTTTTCAAGCAGTTTTATGGATTTATTTTGTCGTTTGTAGAAGGTTGCTACTATTTTACGCGAGGATTGTACATTTTGGGTTAGCAATGATGAAAACTTGAAAGCTGTGAATGAAAGTATGATGCATTTTCGAGATCCGGATACTGAAGATGAACAAAAGGTTAACAAATTTTGATGTTTGATTTCGGCGCTATTTGGTGATAAACGGGAGAAATTTTTGAGAATTTGAATTATAAAGCTATTTGAATATATTATAAATTCTACGAACATTACGAATTAAGAAATTCTATGTAGAATAAAAAAAAATGCACTGAAAATTTGTTGCAGTTCACGGGCAATTTTACGGACTACAATTATGTAAAGCAGTGGCTTACAGATAAGTGTATACCACTCGTGCGAGAGGTCACATTTGAAAATGTTGAAGAGCTGACGGAAGAAGGTCTACCATTCTTGCTTTTCTTCCGAAATCCTGGAGACAAAAAAGACGACAAAAAGTTCACTGAATTGGTAAATTGTATCTCATGATATTTTTTTTGGTAACTGGAGAGTTTCAGATCCTCAGAATATTATAAGTTTAAGTAAGCATTAGCTTATCCAAGTCCGTCGTTTTGAAGTTGCTCGTTAAACATTTTCCATTATAGGTAGTGCGTGAACTTTATGATCAAAAAAATGCAGTCAATGCTTTGCTGGCAGATGGTCATAAATTTGCTCATCCGTTAAAACATTTAGGAAAAACTGAAGATGATTTGCCGGTTTTAGCTATTGATTCCTTTCAACATATGTTTTTGTTTGATAATATGGATGAATTGTACGTTCCTGGGAAGCTTCGCCAAGTATGTTTTATTTATATCCGTTGGGATTATAAAATATTTTAGGTGCTATTCATAATAATGCTTTCCGTGAAACTGTGGTTAATACTTCTTGTTTTTAATCTTTCATTTTTATAATTTCTTCATTTTACATATTCCCTAACTCCTAGCGATTAAGTACATTATACTTAGAACCAAATTAAAAGTTTGTATTTTAGTTTGTTCTCGACTTGCATTCTGGAAAATTGCACAAAGAGTTTCATGAAAAAATGGATCAGGAAGTGATAGATTTGCAGAAACTGGAATTGAAGAAACTTGAAAAATTTGCTGAAAATGAAGCAAAACCATCG